TCTCCCAGTATTAGAAACTTTAAAAAATATATTTCCGTTTTCTGTTGACTTTATATCACTTCTTCCTTGTCTTTCTCACACATACACACGTATACATATGAAGAAATATGTATATAACCTGATATAAGATCTATACTGTTTTGTGGAAATCTTCAATGACCTTTTAAATGGGTTCATCTAATATAATTATATTTTACATAGTCCTGCATAACTGCCATTTTGAGAGCTCTTTATTCTTTATCCAGGACCATATAGCAACTTCTCTTGTCTTCTGGATTATGGTCTTTGTTCTTTTCTATATGCTACAGCTGGAGGTATTAGAATATTTCAAGTTTGTATAACTGGAAAATATTTTACTTTTAGTTTTCAAAGGTTTGTTTGCTAAGTATAAAATTCAATGAGGACAGATCTTTTTTTTTCAGTCCTTTGAATTAGTCTGGTTTCTTACCCACTTGCTCTTTTTTTTCTTAATGTGGAATAAGATGCTATTTAATTTTGTTCTTCCATAGCTAATTTTTTACATATATGCTTTAAAGGATTTATTTTTCTTTACAATTAGTTTTGGACAATTTCATTTCCGTGTATCTTGGTATGCTTTTATTCATATTTCTTGTGCAAAAGGTTCATTTTTCTTGAAAATATGCTATAATTTCAACTAAATTCAGAAATTTTAAATCTTTAAATATTTATTGCCTACCCCTTTCTACCTTGAGAATTGTAATTATATGAATATAAGTTTCTTGGTTTTGGCACAGAGTGAACTATTATATGACTGATCTGTAAATTCTTTCTTCATTTTTATTTTAGACATTTTTCATTGTTATATTCATTTAAGCTTGTAAATTTATTTACAATATACAATCTAAAATCTCATGCTGTGTATTCATTTCAGAAATATTTCTCTAAAATTCACTGTCTACATCTCATATCTTTCACATTTTAATATTTGTATAAAATTTTTAATCTGCTATAATTATTGATTTTCAATAAAGTTAATGAGAAAAATGAAAATAAGATAAATAAAAAATAAAAAGGGAAAATAAATATAACCTGTCTAAATAAAAAATAAATAAAAGGTTTTAGATTTTCACAATTTTATGCAGTGTAAAAAGTAATAGAGAAGTCTCACATACCTCTCCTAAGTTTCCCCAATGTATAACATTTTTCAAAATTATAGAAAAATATGGAACTTATATTTTTATGAAATTCTACAGCTACTTTTCCAAAATGCAAATATTTATCAGTGTTTTCTTAGTATCGAAGTAACTTATCCTCACTTTAAAATATATAAGTAGCACATTGGCCAAGCAATGGCTGTGACTCATCCACATGACTGACACTGGCAACAGTTCTACAATCTAAGGTACAGGATCTCAGGATAAATCCTGAGGGGATTTCACTGACCTTATCACACCCAGAAGCTACAACTCTTGTTGCATGGGTGCTGCTTTACTTGGTCTTAACCATCCAGCAGAAAAGTATAAAAATGAAGTATAAGAAGTAAAGCCATGGTGTTATGTTGAGCTGTAGGGGACTCAGATCAACAATTTCTGACATTGCCAGTAAAGTGGAAGACCCAATACTATTATGGGCTACTGGACTCTTTTAGAATATTTTGCTGAGTTTACACACCTGTAGTATTTAAATGATGGAACTTAGCAAAAAAAGGGGATACAAATGAATGTCCGTTTTGTATCTGTGTATTCAAAGTGGTTAGGATAGATATATAGTTACATTCTCTTAATGAATAGAGGGATTTGTTCTAATAGTGTTTGTAAGTAGGATATCAAGTCAGCATCTTGTACAGCAGTTAACCATTAGGAAGAACGTATGCAATGTGTTAATTATCGAAACTGTCCTACCAATTTGGTTTGAAACTGTCTCATTGCTATTTGTTTCTCAATAAAATTTGGAAAAAATACTTACATCTCTTTTGCATTAGCTTTAGTATGGATGAATTTTATTTCCTGTCTTCTTTATGCTGAACAGATATTGGAAAAATAGAAGTTTGTTTAAAAGCATTAATTCTAAAACAATCACAAGAACATTTTTCTAAAATAATGAAACCAATAACATCCATGGTAAATCTGATAAAAGATTCTGCGATCAAAAGTAAAGTATACTTAAGCATATTAAGATTGAGTGCCATTGATAAATTAAAAATATACTTCCCTGAAATTCCGATTTTTAAAGACAATGCGTTAACAAAATAAAATATATAAGTAGCATAGATGAATAGTAGATAGAAAGTGAACATTTCCCACTATTTTATGTAACCTCTCAGATATAATGCTGTTAGAATTTTTATGTTGCTTTCCAGATACTATTAAATATATGTGCAAGCATAGCTGTATTTAATCACAAAAGCTTACTTAAACTATTCTATCAATACACTGTAATGCTAATACTAATAGTGCATGTATTTCTGAACTTCTATATATGTATTTTTATTTTTGGTCGTACTGGGGATTGAACTCAGGACCTTGCACTTGCAAGGAAGCGCTTATTCTACTGAGCTATCTCCCCAGCCCCCTGAACTTCTTTTTAATATAGTTAATTATATGTATAATGTGCAAATACTTATTGGCCATTTTAGATTGAGTTGCTTCAACAATTCAGAATTCATATTTTATTCAATCAGATAAGAAAATAGAACCCAAAGCATATGTCTCCAGTTATCCAAGAAATTCATCTACTGCTGCTGTTGAGACTGCATGGGATTGCTCTTCCAAAAAACATAAAGATGCAGAACTGAAGATTTGTAAGGAGCCTAATCTGGTGGTAAAGTCTTTACCGAATGGATGGTTTCTTAAGCAAAATTTGTTTTAGGGAATTTTTATTCCTAGATATATTATTTCTTGGTAGAACCCAATTCTTGGTTTTGAAGTCACCTTGTGTAATATTTCTTCTAGTTTTTAGTCTTTTATATAATTAGCTTTCCCTCAAGTCATTTGTAATTTTCCAGCGGTTTTGAGACTTGGAAGTGCTCTCATGATGATATTGCTGTCTCTGCCTCTGTGTATCAAATTTTAGGCTGGAAAACCCCTGAGTGACTTAGAGGAGAGAGTCAGGAGCTCTCCTCTTGCTGTGTGCCTCAACTCCAGCATTTCATCTTGGCACTCAGCCTCAGACAGTGCTTTTCTTTCTCCTTCACTACACCTTCCTACTTGATTCTCTCTCTTTTATTCATTTCACATTACTTATTTTGCAACTAAGGAATTAGTTTTATTATTTTTCACTATGCCCTCTGTACCTGACTTCTTTCATGGACTAGAAAATATCTTAAGAGTCTGCTATATTTCCTGAAAGAAAACAGTAAAGCCTAAAAGTAAACAGTATATGTAAGAATGAAAGTATTGGGCCAGGGATTTAGCTTGGAATTTCAGTGCCTGCCTGGCAAATGTGAACTCTTGGTCCTGAGTTTCTGGTATATTAAAAACAAGTGTTTGCAAAATCCTATCTTTGATTAGAAGGCTAATCGAAATTTAATCCATTCCTTAGCGTTACCTTTCACCCTTAGTAGGATTGGATGAAAATCTTCCTTAGTTCAACCTAAATATTTGAAGAACTGCTTGTATAATATTTCTTAATTATTTGACTAGTGTCATAAAGCTAATTTTCATATTTTAACATAAGTAAAAATCACCTGGAGGAATTTTTTAAATGCGTAACTCCGAGCACCGTTCTCAAATATTATGAGTAAATCTGGCTTGAGCCCAAGAATCTGAATTTTAAATTTCTCAAGTAATTCTGATGAGAAATATAAATATTTCCTTAGGGTTTGAATGCTACCCAAACACTTACATGGTTTCATTTCTTTTTCTTTTTTTTAATTTATAGGAACCAGAAAAACACAAACCACAGCTCACCTTGTCAGGGGCAAATGAAGATATCCCACTCGATGCTGCACAAGAAAAAAAATTACGCAGACTTCCCCCATTAGATACCAGTACCCTTGTGGGGGTCTTTGTGGAATATATTATCTCGCCTAGTCAGTTCTACATCCGAATCTATAGCAGGGATTCTTCAGAGTTACTTGAAGACATGATGATTGAAATGCGGTAGGATTTTGTTATTTTTAGTGTATTTTTTTGTATCTTAACTCTAATCAACATGGTTTGGAGAATGTACTTCATAATGGTTTTTGGCTGAAGTATGTGAAATTTGTAGCCTCACACAGTTAATATAGTTGGGCAAGGTATGTTATAATAGTCTTTTAAGAATATTATTTCTTGATAATATATTAAAACTTGATAAATGGTAGTTTCTTAAAGATAAGTTGCAGTGTGGAATTTGAATTTTTTCATACACTCTGTTAAAGTTGACGTTTTATCTTTGTGCTATAACTCGTTCCAAGACTAGCTTTATAACTTTAGGCCCCCATACAAAATTAAAATGTAGACTTCCTTGTTTAAAAATAAAGAGTAAGATGTCAATAGCAGAACCATTTAGGAAAGGTTAGGATCCTTCTAACCATGTACTCACATGGACTAACCTATAGTGAATCTTTTACAACAACTTTTATTGATCATTTGTAAAATGCTAATCTACTGAACTATGCAGATCTTCCAAATGTAGCATGTTTTATCTCATAGTATTTAAAAAATAACACTCATTAATGTAACTACTGATATCATCAAAAAAGTATTAAAATGATTGGAAAGCTGTTGAGCTCACAGTGGTGGATATAACATTTTCAAAATTCTAACTTTAACTTAAATATTTGCATTTTATCATTGACAGCATACATTGTTAATCATTTACCTCAAAGCAAATGCTTGCTTAATTTTGAGGAAGTAATAGATCAGATACCTCTCTCTGAATTGTCATTAGTATCCTAGTAAGTTTCCCATCACTAGGACAAAATATTGAATGTTTACAACTTAAAAGGGGTTTAAATGGTTCATTTTCCAGTGATTTCTGCCTGAAGTTGGCTGGCTCTGAAAGAGAAACAGTGTGGTGGAAGGGCATAGCAGAGGACAGCTATGCTAGCCCCAGAACCCAAGGCATCCCACACAAGCCACCAAAATGGGTTATGGTAGTACATGCCTGTAATCCCAGAACTGGGAGGTTGCGACAGGAGGATCACTATAAGTCTGAACTGTGTAGCGAGACCATATATCAAATAATTAAATAAATAAATTTATTTTTAAAAATTAAAAACAGTATTTTCACCATACATTACGCAGGAAAAACATTCCCATTCCAAAAGAGAAATAATGGGGTAGAAAAGAATGGAACCAAGGCAAGACCAGAACCCAGCAGGGACAAACAAAATCTTTAGCTCCATGTCCATCACCCAGGGCAGGTGGTAGGTCTTGCACAGCCCTGTTCCTATTGGCCTTGCTGGTTACAGCCCACATGGTCTTTCACTTAGGCTACCTCCATTCTCTCCTTGTAGTTTTCCTCAAGAGACATGCCACATTCCTGGAGTCTCCAGTGCTCCTTCAGCTTCACTCTTCTAGCTTCATGTACTGCCCTTTTAGGGCAAACTGCCTGGCCTCTCAAGCTTTCTTTTGAACCCTCCATGACCCCTAACACTTAATTTTGTATGCCTCAGAAACCTGCACCTCATGGATGATGCAAAGATCTGCAGCTTAATTGAGCAATAACTAGACTCCTTTGAATTGGGAGTGCACTTCTGAGTGCCTGGATAGATGAGCATGATGAAATGAATACTAAGAAAGCAGTTCTCTAGGTTACCCTTCTTGAGCAGGGGTCCCAGAGGCTGTCTTATGCTTTGGCATCTTTGAGCTGTAATGGATGGAGTCTTGCTGATTCCTGAGAGGTCATTAGGCTATCTTTCCTGTTGCTAATGCTAACCTCAGAAACAGATCTCCATGGTGCCAGCTTTGTAGATGTTTCTTTCATTGTAAAATTAAACTTTTTCACATCTCTTGGCTTACTATTTGTTCTAAGTTCTTGCTATAAATCTGGATAGAATTAGCTGGCAGTACTCATGGCATAGCTTAAATGTTGGGCCACCTTCAGATTTCCTCCAGCAGATTAGTCATCCACCCAGTCTTAGTCTACCACAAAATGAGTTGAGTCTCAACAGGGGCAAAATGAAGACAAATTTCCTGCTATGGTATAACACACATGGCCTCTAGTCCAACTACTTGGAGTCTGTTTCTAACTGAAACCTTCCAATGCTGAATTTTACTGTTTGCATTCTGATTAGCATCCTGGTTTTCTGAGCTCTGACCACAGTCTCTCATCAGTCTGTTTACAGCATTTTAAGGCCTCTCTAGTTTCAAAGACTTCTCAACTACATGGGCTTAGCAACAACCCCACTCTTGGTACCAGTTTTCTGTATTAGTTACTTTCCCATACCTGGGATAAAATACAAACACCCACAACTTTAAAAAACAGAGATTTATTTGACTCACAGTTTCCAGTGGATTGAGTCCAAAGTTGGCTGGTTCAAGGGCAGAAGTAGCATGGTAGAAGGGCCTAGAAGAGGATAGCTGTTAATCCCATAGCAGCACAGAAGCAGAAGGTCAGAGTTAGGGACAAGAATATATCCTTCCAGGTTAGGATGTTAGTGGCCTGCCTGTTCTGACCAAGCCCTATTTCTGAATGGATATGACACTTTGGGGTTACATTTTAGATATGAACCCTAACACATAGTTTGTTAGTGGGTTTTTAAGCACAAATGGTGTTCCATGAAAATAGTAATTACTTCATATTCCAAGTAAAAAAAAATCATGTTTCCTTACTCATCACACACACAAAGGATAGTTTAGGTTGTAATTGAAATACATGCTCAATTTGGAAGTGATTCCTAAGTAACCTTGGAAGTGATTTATGGGGCCTTCCATCTTTGTCAACAGCCAGAAGTTAAGACTATTAATAGTAGTAAGGGTTGGGATGCTGAAGCCCTAGCACTCTAAAAAGATAAGTTTTTACCTTTGTAAGCAATACCATAATTGTATGGGAAGATGGTTATGAGATATGTGTGTGGAATGTTGTAGGAGGCAGTAGTTTTGCCTGGGCATGATTAAGGAGAGCATTGCAAAGGAAATATTTGAGGTAGGCCTCAAAAATAAGTAAGTTTGCCAGGTGAGGTATGAGTGGGTATATTTAGATCCAGTGGCTGCTGCATCAAGGCCACCATTAACAAAGGAATGAGTTGGGTGGTTTGAGAATAGCACATAAGGGTGTGGAGTTGGTACTAGTGAGGTAGGGAAAAGCCAGATTGTGAACACCATAGGAAGGAGTTCTGATTTCCTCAGATAGCAAGGAACCACCAAAGGTTTTAGGAAAGACATCAACAGTTTTTTGTTGTTGTTGTTGTTTTTTTTTTAAAAACAGGATAGAAAATGGTTGGGGTGAAGATAAGATCCATAAATAGGCTGGTCTTTTTAGGGGGTCACAGAGACAAATTGGAGATAAATAAAATTGTCAGGTGATGAGAATAGCATTAGGAAAAATAAAAATGAGACATAAAATGTGAAAATTACTGGATTTAGAAATTAAGTTTGAACTGGGGTGAGAAGTTAGAAATTTACACACATTGTCTCTAAGGTGAGCATGCAACTGTCGATTGACAGTGTTGAATAGGCAGTATTAGTTAGAATTAGATTTAGCCATTGTTAGATATAATACATAAAGGAGATACTTCTAACAATAATCCCAATAGAGGTGATAGGGGCTGATGTCATAGCTTCATGATGTTAGGGACACATATTTTATATCTTGCTGCTGTAGATACTACGTTGCTCCATCCATATGGTTCTAGAAATGTCTTACCACACATCCACTGGCTCATCCTCCTTTCCACTAGGAGGAAGAGAGAAGGATGTATGGGGCATGATTTTTTGCTTGAGACATACAACCTAAAATTTTCATATTTTTAAAAATTGAAATGAAACATAATTTACTGTCCTTTGTAATTTTTCTTATATCCTTTTTTGTTACATGGCTAGAACTTTTTATTCATAGAGTCACTCAGATGCTGGGAAATCTGAATGGCCATATATGCAGTTAAAAGAACATTATCTTATTACTGAGGAAAAAGAGAGAGTGGATACTGGGAATAGCTAGCCTGTCTTTGATCCAGTGAGAATATGCAGGGCCTTCTACAGAGAAACAACCATCAGTTTATCAGTAGCAGTATTAAGGATATTAAAATGGATGAGATAGTGTACTGCAAGAATTAGTAACTATTATTTGATTGCTTACTATAGTTGGTCACTGTCCTAGACTTTGACAGTATTTTAACAAAGGTTTTTTTAAATTATGATCTTCAGGACCGGCCAGGTAGCTCAGTGGATTAAAGCACCTGCAAGCAGGCACAAGGGACAGGGGTTTGATCCCCTGGCCTGCTGTGCTGGTCCTGCTCCCAGGGCACCCCAGAGGGCAATTGAGACTAGGCGTGGTGGTGTGTGCGTGGGTAATCCCAGCTCTTGGGAGGCTGTAAACAGGTGGATCAGTATGAGTCCAATCTAATAGTGAGACTCTGAACACCCTGTAGAACCTTCCCTAAAATATATATAAATAAGTAAATAAATATCTTTACCCTCAACAAGGAAACAAAACCACAGAGATATTTGTACAGCTCATAAATTACAGGATCAGAATTTGAACCTGTTATTTTTTAAAAATTTCTGTTGGTGGGCCAGCGAGATGGCTCAGTGGAATAAGC